CTCACTTTAGGTCCCACCAACACGAAAAAGCTGGCAAGATAACATTAACGACATCAATAATTCCCCAGCAACAACCTCATCAACAACAACATCAACAAAACCACAAACAACACAACAACAAACCAACAACAACAACACCATTAAATACAATCCTCTCTTCGAAGATTTCAGCGCAAATGGCGACGGTGATGATTACAATATCCGTGCTGGTAACGATTACAGAATGGGTGGTGATAGTTATGATGATGATTATGATGATGATGAAGAGGAGAAAGAGGTTGATCCTGATTATGATCGCCGTACCAGAAGCACTGTTAGCTTTTTATTAGAGATGCACCGAATACCGAATAGTTAATCCGCTGCCGAATATTCGACCGGTTACTAATAAACCCACAATTTTAAAAAAAAATTCATTTTTTTAGAATGAAAAACAAGCTATTGAACAAAACATTAGACGATTCGTGTCTATCTTAAGAATTTTTTTATCGAGATGACATTCAATATCTTGTTCAATTTCAAATGATTTAAAGACAACGAAAGCCTAAATAATTTTTCTACTATAAGTATTCAACAGACATTGATTAGGGATTTGTAAAAAGTAATTGATTACAACGAAAGTTTGACTATTTGGCTATTCGATTTTGAAGTGCATCTCTACTTTTATATTTCTCTTCATTAAATATGAGAGAAATATTGTTTCAGAATTGTTGGATTTTTAAGAATGTTTTTTCGTTGTTGAATTGGAGATTAATTTTTACTTTACATTCGTTCGTTTTCCATCATGTGTTTATCTCTATTTCTTAATTATTTTATCCATTCATTTATCCAATCATCTATCTTTCTATGGCATTCATTCATTCATTCATTCATTCATTCATTCATTCATTCATTCATTCATTCATTCATTCATTCATTCATTCATTCATTCATTCATTCATTCATTCATTCATTCATTCATTCATTCATATCATTCAATCATTCAATCATTCATTCATTCATTCATTCATTCATTCATTCATTCATTCATTCATTCATTCATTCATTCATTCATTCATTCATTCATTCATTCATTCATTCAATCATTCAATCATTTAATCATTCATTCATTCATTCATTCATTCATTCATTCATTCATTAAGTCAGTCAGTCATTCATTAATCATTTCATTCTAATCGCATGAAATTTCAATTTTTTCTTTCAACATCATTTCAATGGTTTTCCATTTCAGTAGCCTTTCAACTTCACCGGGCAGGCTTCAAGGATGGGCAGCATTGAAGAGTTGGACGAACCAACATCCACTCAACAATCGCCTTTGCTGACAACAAAAACATCATCAACAACAACATTAACAACAACGACATCAACAACATCAACAACAACAAAACCAACATCCTTATTACCAACAACAACACAAAAGCCACAACAATTGCAATCAAATTCCCATAAAAACCAACAAAATCAAGCGTTGCGACGAACGGAGGTTTTACGTCAACCACCACAACCACCAAAACTACAGCAGCCACAAACACAACTACAACAGCAACCACAACAGCAGCTGATAACGATTGATCTTGAGAAGAACACAAAGAGTGGTTACGGGATTGGCCTGTCGAGAGATCGAATGGACGAGGGGGTTTTCGTAGTTTCGCTACTACCTGGTGGTGTTGCTGATCTAGACGGAAGGTTGGGTGGTTGATTGGCTGATTGGTTGAAATTTTGATCGAATGAATGAATGAATGAATGGATGGATGGATGGATGAATGAATGATTGAATAAATGAATGGATGGATGGATGGATGAATGGATGAATGAATGGATGAATGAATGGATGAATGAATGAATGAATGAATGAATGAATGAATGAATGAATGAATGAATGAATGATTGAATGAATAAATGAATGAATGAATGATTGATTGATTGACTGACTGACATGCTGGCTGACCGACAACTATAACATCAACAGCCACACACAACCAACACATCAACACCACCAGACTGCAACCGGGTGATCAGGTGGTCAGGGTGAATGGCGATGACGTCACGGGGAGTCAAGGTTACTCGAAGGTCGTTGAACTTTTGTCCGGCAGGTTTGCTACACTGGTCGTTCGAAGGAGGAGTCCGGCGAAATTTAATGGTATCATTTGATGTGAACATTTTTGGCGAGTTAAACATTTTTGAAAATTTTTATTTTTTAATAATCAAAATAAAAAAAATGTTTATTTTATACTCTATTTAATATAATTTATAATTGTGTATTCTTATATTCTTATTTAATATTATTTATAATTTGTATTTTTATTTTTTTATTATTTTTTTTACAAATATTCAGTCCAACGGAAGGGAGATGTGTACACAAACGCCGGTGAAATCACAGAGAGTTACAACAACACGTTAAATAACAACAACAACAACAACATTAATAACAACAATGATGAAGTCAATTCAAACAACAACAACAATAACAGCTATCTTAAAAGTTTCGACTCATCAGCAGTAAGTACCAACTACACAGCACACACATCTCCAACAGACAGCGATCTCAATCGGTTGCAACAACAACAACATCAACAACATCAACAACAACAAAAACAACAACATCAACAACAAGACATCATAGATTTTTTCGGCAACCATTTAACTTCGACATTAAAACGATCGTCTTTAGTTAAGCTTGATAATATTAACAACAACAACAACAACAATTATAACAACAATAGTAATTATAATAGTAGTAGTAATAATAATAATAATAATAACAGTTTAACACTGACAACGGACGCTTACAAAACTTTCAGCACCTTCAAAGAACCATACTCGCTATCCAAATATCAATTTGACAGTAATAATAATAATAATAATAATAATAATAATAATAATAATAATAATAATAATAATAATAATAGTGCTGCTACAACAACTACAACTACTACTACTACTGCTGCTGCTACCACTGCTACTACACTTGCTGCTGCTGCTACTACTACTACTACTATCAATAATAATAATATCAATAATAATAATAATAATAATAAAAATAAGCCAAAACCAAAGCAACGATTCTCAACTAGAAATAACATCAGGAGTGAACTTATTGAGATTGGAAATAATAACAATGGAAATAATCGCAATAAAAATAATAATTTTAATAATAATTTAAACGGTGATGATGAAAATAATAATATTAATAATAATAATAATAATGATAATAATAATAATGATGATGATGATAATAATAATAATTATAATAATGAAAATAATATCATTCGAAGTTACGAAAGTTCTAACGATAATGATGGTGGTGATGTTTATGACGATTATGATGATGGGAATGATGATGGTTTGGTGCATATTGATAGTAAGTTTTTGAATGGGTTTATGAGTGAGTGAGTGAGTGAGTGAGTGAATTAAAAAATGAATGAATGAATGAATGGATGAATGAATGAATGAATGAATGAATGAACAAATAAATAAATAAAAAGGAAGAAAAGAATTTCCAAACATAACAAAATCCATAACTGACACCTGGTTACGTGAAGCTGTTTTTGAAATATTATCATCATCACCATCACCACCGATATCTTCATCATTATCAGCAACAACATCAGCAGAAGCAGCAATCGAAGCCACATCATCATCATCATCATTCAGAAATAACTATGACGTCACTAGCTTGGATGGATTGATTGAAAAAATTCTCATCCAACTGAAGTACGATCAACCGCTCGTCGAGTTTAAGGTCATTCGTTATTATTATTATTATTATTATCATTATTATCATTATTATTATTATTGGTAGAGTTTGAACCAATCAAAAACCTCCATGCATTTATGCGCGGAGGGCTCGAAGCCTGAGAACAAATCGAAAAACAGATACCAAAATGTCCTGCCTTGTTAGTTTTAATTAGTATTATTATTATTATTATTATTATTATTGTTATTATTATTATTACTGTCTGACGTTTTTGTTGTTGTTAATTACTCGGCGTGATCGTGTGTGTGTGTGTTTGTGTGTGTGTGCGTGTGTGTACGTGTGTGTGAGTCGTTTATACTTATGAAAAATACTTGAGAGAAGAATACTCATTACAATAATACTACATACTACATTACTGTTGCAACAAAAAAACTTCTAAGCGAGTTGTTTGTCGACAAAAAAAATTTCAAATTTTCATTTTTTAGTCGATGAGTCCAGAGTGGTTTTACAAAATCAACCACAACATCATCATCATCATCATAACCAACAACAACAACAACACGGAAACTACATTAACGCCAGTCATATATTCTTCAACGTTGGCAACGATAATAACATCAACAACAACAACGTCAACAACAACAACAACATCATCAACACATCAACAACAACAACAACAACAACAACATCATCAACAACAACAACATCAACAACAACATCAACATCAACATCAACAACAACATCAACAACAACATCAACAACAACAACAACATCAACGACGACAACGGCGACGTCATCATCCGATTCATAACGTCACAAAACCCTCTGCCGAATACTGTAGCCGACTTCTGGACGATGGTCTGGCAAAATGACGT